GAAAATGAGAATTTAAGAGTTCCTTGAGCACTTCAATTTCCCCAGTTTTGCCTGGATACACTCCTCGTTGAGTTCTACAACAAGCAGCAGGAGCGATCGTACTAGTGAGCACACAGCTGTTTCTCTGATAAAGCGTTTTCATGCCGCTACCGTCCAGTATAAAGGCTAATATTCCGAACTAATCAGTTATAAATGCTTCACCATTTGTGTGCATTGCATGAGTCGAGGATTTCCTCATTTGTATTACATGCACACCATAGCTGAATAGCGTTAGAGACATGAGAAATTCTGAAGAAAATTTAGGATGGCATAAGCATTTGACGCGGCCCATTTTCTTCAAAAGAACAGAGCAAATCAAATCCACGCGTTAACCAAAATCAAACAACACCGTTCCTAGTTTTCCGACACGCCGAAACCGATGGTTGCTATGCCGATTTACGAAATTTCCAAATAAGTCGGAAAACTGAAAAAATTAGGGGGTGGCATATAAAATTGACGCGCACTGTAGTTTTGGCGTTCTACTGCCGTTACGTATCCACATGAAAGCAATCACTTCGTTTTTTCCTATTGTCATAAAATGCAAAGTAAAGGTGTAGCAGAAGCCAAACACAAACCTTTACAGACAAGATACGTACTTCTACTATTAGAATGAATTTTTTATTTACGATTTATTATTTATCTCACTAACTATATCGGCTACCTGTTACATGTGTTCTATGTTTTGTTAGTAGTAATCACCGATAATAAATCATAATCATAATCATAATCACTTGTCTCTATCTTCAGTGCTCAGAAGTATTCTCGATGCTACTTTTCCAGGACGTGGCCGTGCAGATATTTTCAGCATTCATCCGAGATACAGATTGACTTACGGTCGATGTTATTTGGCTTTTCTTTGAGAATGATTGCGGTGACTCCGTTCATCCTATAAGTGGAAGTTTTAGTCACTAGATGTGGATAAAAACTTTCACTCGCAGTGCTTCTGAAACAGAAATCAAAAATAGGTAACAAGAATTGGTGTCGCAAAACCTTCTGGCCCAATATTCACGACGTGAAACCGGGAACAGTCTTCTGGAAGTGATTTAGTAATTTTTTTGCGCGTGATTCCAGTGATTATTTCGAAATGGAAACAACCAAGTTTTCTATAAACTGGAGCAGGCTTCAATGAACGACGAATAATTCCCATCAGAGATTTATGTTGGGTAAAAATCTTGATTCTTTTGGAACTCGGCGTGTACCCTAGCGTTCCCAAATTCTGAATTTGACACATTCAAAATAAATCGATAGTCGCAAACAGCGATCTTTTTATCCTTTAATATAATCTGGTTGGAGCATAAATCGTGGTCTTTTTTTCAAGCGTATACATTCAACAAGTACAAGCACTATGGGCTGCTTACTATATCGATTGAGAGTACTTTTTCTTTCTACGACACTGTCTTTGCCATTTTCTTCAGTGTTATATTTGCATTCAGATAAAGTGCCCAGGAAATAAAAACTCAGGTGGTTGAACCCGATTTCGCGCGATTTCGACAACTACTATTTTTCTCTAATTTATATAGTAAAATACCTCAAAAACGGAAATCTTCTATGGTCCGTCGTTTTCGTCGAACCTCACTCTGATCGACCTTACCTTCTTCGCTCAATTCAATGGCAGACTTATGTCGTACAAGTTGAGAATAATGAAGACTTCAAAAACGGGCCCAATATCCTTTTCATGCCAAACCAAGTGAGCCCCTATGAAGTAGCCAAAGTCGTAAATAATGAGTAAGAGAACATCACTGTTCAGTTTCATGTTTTTTTTTGCTTCAACAATTTGCCGAAAGCGATGTGCCGAAAGCGCTGCGATATTATGTTCCAATTCATGACTTATATAATGAGTGAAAATGTTGAGAGTAAATGAGCTTTATCGAAGTTCATCATCATCGTGAGCTACCATGGATAAAGAATGAGGAGATGAGAATTGGTCCAGCGTTTGAATAAATAGAGAAAAAAAACCTTTGGAAATTGCTCTGCCTTGGGACAAGCCACGCATTTGATTTCCACTATGCCTAGAGTTCTAAAAGCAGTCGCCTCTGATTAGGCCTCTACAGTAACATGCGGGTGCCATCCGATGCTTATCTTAGCATTTTACTTTCTGAAAAAAACCTGGTACCAAGCGAGTAGCCGGTGAGAATGAGCTTGGTTGCGTTGGCCAAAAAATCCGATCCAGGGTTAATCAGACTGTGTGCGTGGCAGTGGTGCCCTTGCCACTACAACAACCCTTTCTTCCTTTCGCCACAGATCATGAACGGACTTTACTCATAGGACATACTTTCAGTATGTGAATCCTTGCTATTAAGGCCGACTACTGTTCAAACACAGAATGCTAATTTGCAAGGTCTTATCGTTTTCAAACGGCGCTATAAGCTCTACCAAGAATAGTTGCAACCCGTGACTGTGCTGGGATATATCAATATTCATACCATCACTTTTTCCCAAACAAGCCGTTCTCGGCGTGAAGAAACACTTTGTTAGCCTGAGTGAGATAAAGGAGCGCCACCTTACTCCGGAAGAGAATAGTCACATCTGCTACCTTATCACTATGACTTTATCATTTTACCCAATTTTTCAATGAAGCATGAGTACCGAGTACGACTCGGATGCCAATTTTTAGCAAGTCGCCGAGGAAGCGGTGGACATAAGCTCGCTGAGGTGTCGGCGATGGACCACATGCAGGCTGCAGTCAATGAAGCATGCGCAGGAGTGCAGGCTGGGGATGGCGGTCCCTTCGGAGCGGTCGTAGTTAGACAAGGAAAGATTGTAGCGACTGGGCATAATATGGTGAGTTCAGAGCTTGACTATGATCAGGGTCAACTGTCCGGTGCTCCATTTCAAAAATGTAACGGCGCCACTCCTGTAAAGGCACAGCCCAAACAGATGTCGTGTGAATACTTCCCTTCGGTTTGTAGCATAGAACCGTAGAGGACCGTCACAAATGTGGCGTTCCCGTACATGGAAACCAACCGACAATAGCGCTTGAGCCATGCAATAAGCTCTGAAAGTGCAAATTTTTCCTCCTATTAGGCTGTTGTCTGGCTCTCTCTTTCATCTGTTGAGCTCTCCTCTCGCCTCATACTCTCCACTCCGCGCTTAGTTTCTCATTCCCTTAGCACAGTTGATAAGGAAGGTGAGTGAGCCCTTGACCTAATGCAGCGTTCATAGTTAACAATCGTACGTGCGATTAGGCGATTAAGTTTAGCTCGATGTTAAAATGAGAAGTCAACAAATCGATTCAGGCGATCGGCAGTAGGCGAGTAGGCCGACAAGGAGGTACGTATCAATTTTGTTGGCTGCCCCATTGGGCGATTGCCTAATGGCCTAACCGCCTACTCGCCTGATCGCATACTCGCTTACTCGCCTACAACGCTCTAAGGGCGGAGCAAATCAATCAATGCACATGTAGTCTTGACCGCCTAATTGCGGTATATCGCCCCCCAATCTATACGTATGTTTTCCATTATAGACAAATGGCCTAAACGTCTAATCGTCTGGTCGCACGTACCATCGCCAACTATGAACGCTCCATACGCATTTTCGACAGATCTTTTTCCTTTTTTCTTTACTGCCGGCTTACTTCGCACCAATACACATTCATCTCGTTGCTGCAAGAGCCACACAATGTGAGCGGCCATGACGATCCTCACCACCACCTTCAACCTTGGGAGAGTTCCCCAATGCAAATCCTCCTTCCCATTTTCATTCCCTCATTCCAACTACGCCCACCGCGCCTACTGCCCAGTTGCCTCGAAAGGGCCAAAGAGGAGCCGCCGGCAGGGTGGTGAAATAGGTCTGAAGGATCGAAAAATGGCTTGTTACGCGTTTCTTTCCCTAGGTTTTGCCAAAGCCGTTGAACACGACTCCTCTCTCGCCACCACGACAAAGACGACTCCTCTCACGCCAGCACGATCCATCTAACTCCAGAGCTACGACTCTCCCCTTTCCAATCTGTTGACATTCACAAACCCTGATACGACCCCCTTTCGGAAAAAAGAAACTGAAAGGCGAGCCCTCTTGTTGAACACGGTTGAGCCTGCTGTGATACCATCATTCGAAAGGCCACTTCCTCGCCAACAGGAGGCTCCTACAGATTGTTCAGGGCCACTTTTTTTTGAAAAATTCTCTTTTTTCAGGTGCTGGTTACGAAAGATCCAACTATGCACGCTGAAATAACGGCCATCAGGAATGCATGCAAGGCACTGAGTGAGTCAGGATTCATTGCGAAAGGTTTTGTTCATACTCCACGATTTCGGAGATCAGGAGAGGATAGTGGACAAAATATCTATTGATTGATGGACTAGGATTGAGATATCAGGAGGCTAGGAGACCACGATGTTAGGAAATCCCGCTGACGCGTCAGATAATCATTGATCAATTCGACTGAGGATGCCTAATCTCCTATATTCTAATCAATACTCATCAAATCTCTAGGATCTCCAAATCACGTATTTTCCAGAACCGTGAAGTACATCTTTTGTCGCTATCCTATAGCAAATACTGCTTACAATTAGGCGGCGTGGTCCGTAGAGGGGGTAGACATGCTTTACATAGGAAACAGGTTTCGAAAAACTCGCAAGATTTCATCCAGTTCGATCTTCGACTTTCACTATGAAGTAAACAAACAAATAGGAACAAAACATAATTGTAAACAGAAATACAGGGTGTCCCATAAATGACTTAAATTCTGTAGGTGTTTATAGCTTTTCTTCCGAGATTGCAGACCTTTCAATCCTCTATCCTCTTGTCAATGACCATGCCAAATTCCACGGCTTACCGTTCGGCCTGCATCTCATGGTGCGCCTAAACTTCAACAGAGTGCCTAACCTCTCACACAGCTAGGTCGGACATCCGGTGATGAGCATCGCGCTTCTTTGGATTTTCAACCGCTCCGCGGCCTACCGTGCACTAAAGAGAAGACCAATGAAAGTAGTCTTTGTTGTGGCCGCCCCACAAGTTCTGACATCTTGGATCTCAGGAAAAGCATGAAGAAGCGAAACGACTGCAATACCCGGGTTGGCTCGAGAAAGGTGACCAGAACGCTGAAGTTTCTAAACACAGAGAGTCAGATGATAACTGCTCACAGTCCATTATAAGCTGCATATGGATGCCCGCACGAGGTCTTGAGGAAGTCAGTGAGAGTGAAAGGAATATTCGCCACAAGCAGCAGCCGAACCTTATCATGGTCTGGACGGGGTCTCAACTACCGGTCGCTCACCATCACTGCCTGTTTACAAAGGAATACAACTTGATACTAGACCGAGCCAAGGGACATTTCGGTGCACCATCTGTTACTGAGGTATCTAGCCACTTTGAGGAGGGGTGATGATCTTTTCAATAGGACCCAGCTTCTGCATAGGAGGCAAAAATTGTTCAGGAGCGCTGTTAAGGCACTCTTTCCGATTTCACATCCTCAAACGAATGGCTCTCCTATCCCTTGATTTCAACGTGCTGGACCATCCTATGTGGGCTATGTTAGGGGCAGGTTTAAATAGGGGGCAGCAAACTTCACTCCAGCATTGCCCACATGGGAGTTTGAGCCTTTTCTCTTGCAAAGTCTTGAAAAAGAACCACCCCAGAAGCCCAGTGGGCCACAGAATAGTGCGTTTGAACGAATCTGGGAGCGCATGGCTTCAACCAAAATAGAGCATATCCAATGAATTGTCATTCCTTTCAATTAAATAACTGTTAAATTTTGTGACAAAGCCTCTTGTAAATAGACCAATTTGTTGAAACACGAAGTTGCAAAAAGCAATAGGAATGTGGTGCACAATTTATGACACCCTGTAAAGTGAATAACAATACGATATAAAATCGGGAATGGAAGGGCATGATTCGTGTTTGTCTTGAAACAGCCGATACAAGAATTCACATCAGCTACAACGGGTGATAATTCCTTCCGTTTCTGAGGTGCTGCACGAAGTCGTTCGTCTTCGACTGCGGGACATCGTCCATGATATAGGCTGACTTTCTTGGTAAGACTGCGAAAGTAGCTTGTTTATGGTTGGTATTATGAGAGTTGAGGGTGCCATAGTCACTGGCTTGTCTGCTGCATCCTTTCTACGATGTGGCGTAAAACCAAGCTTTCGACCCATACCATTCGAATCGCCCTACACCCACCCCCTCCCTCCCTCACTGGATATACTACCGCTGAATCACGGATTCCTGCTCTCCTCCAGATGCCGTCGCTATTCGGTGAGAGGATACAGACACGCAGCGCGCGTCTTCCACGAAAGCCTCTCCCTAGCGCTAGCTAGCGTTGTACCCTTGTTTTGCTACTTTTTTACTATTGAATTCCCAAAAACGCACCTTGTGGGGCGAGCTAACACGCTTGAGCGCCAGGCAAATCGCTCATGTGCCATGGAGTGGAAAAAAGTCAATACTGCGTGGCCACCAATGTGTTAAACGTGTCTGACAGTTCTCTTGTCTTGAGTTGAGTTTATAGTCGACGAAGCACATCTCGAATCTACAAACGAGAGGAAGCAGGGCAGTTCAAATAGAAAGGAAAAGATGATATCTCCTTGAGATCGTATGCAGCATTCCCCGACAGGGACGGGTCCGCTACCCTTATGTTCCCATTACCGTAGACTCCGGGAAAAAGAATGCTACCCAAGGCCCTTGGCCTCTGCCACTTCTTGCGAACATACAGGGTGGGGTGGGGAGGGGGCAGAAAATTCACCCCGCTTATAGCACACATCACAAACTTTTCGTCGCACTGGGTGCCGCTGTAAGCTTGTAAGCTTTACCACAAAATATTCCTTACCTCCTACCCCTCTCCTTAAGCAGAAGCAGGCCCTCCGCCTGCCCTCATCGTCTTCAAAGTATGACGTCATCACCACCGGGCTCACCGAAGCCTACCGCATTGGCTAGAGCCTGAAGCTGCTAATAATTTCTTCAGTCCATCAACTGGTGGATGGCTTCCTAAAGAAAGTAGTTCCGAATATGCAACATTGCTTTTAACCCTTTGACGACCGCGCGCTTTAAACGTGTCTGCCGTGCGGGACCGCGCGCTCATTCCACGACATGCGGCTATGGCCCGCCGGCGGGCCATACGGTCCCAGAAGACCCCATTTTTTTACTTCACTTTCTATACTTCAACATTCTTGTGGAAAATGATGGTGTTTCTTCCATAGGATTATGGAATCTGATCATTGCGATGA